AATACATTGGTTGGGAAGCCGGCAGCTGGTTTCTACTGACAGAAGAATCAGTTAGACCTGGCTGAGGTACATGCTTAACACACATTTGCAGGGGAGTACCGTCTTGTGGTTGCTGATGGGCAGTAGGGGAGTCCCACGCTATCACGACGGGCCACACATTCTCTCTTTGGATGTAAGACAGTTGATTAGAGTAAGCAAAGGGCAGCACCCACTATCAATGTGAACTTATGCGTAGGATTATTTGAGGCATCTTTCTAACCCAGAGACTCCATTCCTGAAGCTCTTTTGGTCTGAGAAAGGTGGAATCTCTTTTCCATGTATGTTCCTTGTAGTGAGCTAAATGATGGCCCCTAAAATAGGTCCATGTCCTAGTTCCTGGAATCCGTGAATAACGTCTTATACAGCATAAGTGAATATTACCTTATGTGGCAAAAAATAGGAGCAAAGTAATGATCTTCAGAGGAGGAATTTATCCTGGGTTATTGAAGTGAGCCCTAAATGCAATCACATGTGTCTTGGTAAGAGAGAGACAGGGAGTTTTGACACAGACACAAAGAGTCTCCTTCTTTGTGGAGCAGAGAGAGATGTGGCCATAAGCCAATGTATGCAAACAGTTACCAGATGCTGAAAAAGGCCGGGGACAGATTACCATCACCTGGAGCACCCAAAGTGAGTCGGCCCTGCCAACACTTTGATTTTAGTCAAGTGATACTGATTTCAGACTTTTGGCCTCCACAACTGTAAGAGATTAAATTTCTTTTGTTTACGCCAGTAAGTGTCTGGTAATTTACTACAACAGGCATAGAAAACGAATACCTCCACCTTTCTCAGACACTCTATTTCTGGAAGCGTGATCTAACCACAGGAAAACCAGACATGTGATTGGGCAAATTGTACAGAAGTCAGAATGTTTGGTATGGTGACTCCAGAAGATGCTGTGATTAAATTCAATTTAGATAAAATACCATGCTATGATTAAAATGACAAGTTACTTACTGCCCAGCTGCTTTTTGCTTGCATGTGAATGATGAGGCTCAAAAGAGACTAGAAACACTTTTAGGCTACAGAATGTGGACTTTACTGCAAGTGGCTTCATTATCTCCCAAACTTCAGAACTAGGAGAAGTAGCAGAAGTAAGGAAGCAATAGGTGCTAGACATAGGCATGTCTCTTAATGGTTGAGCAGATATCACAGGAGCAAGAAAGAGACTCAGAATTAGGGCAGTGTGAGTGTAAGTTGGGTTAAATGGTAAAGCTAATCATATAGGTGATTGTTATAATAGAATTGATAAGTATTATATAAGGGTACAAGTTATAAAGGGAGTATGTGGGACACCAAACTGGTGGTGAACATGTGCTTGGGGAGTCAGAAAATACTTTACAAAAGAAATCGCATCAAAGTTGGGACCTCAAAGTTGAGTATAAGTTGATGAGATAGGCTCGAGACTGTCCTTATGTGGACCACAGAAAGACCGCACTGGACGCTGTGCTTATCTTTTTGTCTACATATAAATACTGAACTCTGTGAATTTAATGACTTTATCCCTCTGGTACGTCCAGATTGTAAAATAGGTCCTGAACAGTTTGTAAGGAATATTCATGAGTAAATAAATGAACGATACGTAGAAGGCTGCATAGGTACTGTTTATGGGAGAGCTGCTGATGGGGTTTTTAAGAATGTCTGCTTCAGTTCCTAGCACACGGTAGTAGCTGTAACTATAAGTAATAATATATTATAAATAAAAATAATAAAAATGTTTTTGAAAGGCTTTCATGATAATCTTCTTAATCTTTACATAAGGTACAAGTTATTGAGATAACATATCCTGGAAAACATTTCCTTGTCCAGTAAGTACAACCCTACTCCTGATTACACTGTGAAGAGTCAACACATGCTTGAAAATATACACTTTGAGGACTGGAAACACATATAATCGGATTGTGTATCAGAAAAGTACTAAGGGTTAAAATAGGGCTTTCTTTTTAATTTAACTAATTAGTTGTTAACTTGAAAAATACTGTCAGAATTAATGCAT